AAAACGAAAAATAAATTTGCAAATTGTCTCAACTCAAAAAAGAAAAAATCTGCAAATAAATAAATTTTGGAGATAAGGATTTTTTCTCCACATCACTGCGCTATACTGTTTTAAATGGTGCACATCTTTAATTTTAATTTGCAAGGAAATGAACGAATGATTGCATAAAGATAATAACGTATGTATCTAGCAGAATAACAATTGCATAATAAAATATTTTTCTTGATTAATGATCGTTGAAAAAATCTATATGCTTACCGCAACTAAATCAAGTATTTTTTCCTCGTCATAATTCATTAATAATGGAAAAATTCTGCCTTTCTTGCAGTGACCGTTTTAACCTTTGATATAACGCACATAAAAGGGCAAAAAAATTATAATGCTTGTGTGCAATTAAATTGCACAACACACTTATTCACCTTTTCTCTTTTTGCTTGTCCGAATGTGCCCGCGGGCAGCGGTAGTTTTTCTCAAGTTGGCCGGCATTTCAATTTAATTCAATTTGCCGGCTGTTGAGATGTACATGCTATACAAGAGTACACTACTTTTATAATTGGCAGCGCACAGATGTTCTCGTGGGCGGATCAAGGGGTTGCATCACTGCTTTATATTGCTGCTCCATTCATTATAATTCTCATTGTCTGAGGCAATAACGCCATTAAGCGGCACCATATAGCATATTATTATATTGAAACGAGCGCGGCACGGTGCTCTCTGTGTATTTGCATCTCTCTCTCTCTCGCCGGATTATTTCTCACGGGCTGCCCTAGCCGTAGAGCTCCTTCCCGTGTGCGGTGCACATGAGCTCACCACCGCAATCGGCAGCAATGAAGGCGCACGCAGTAATGGCATAAGTGACTGCTGATGTCAACATTATAAAATATAATCTTATTCATCATCGGCCTATGATGGTGTCACCCCATTCAAACAAACCGATTTATGTAGTACACACCATGCGAATCTCGCCGCGCGGCGGTGGCACTTCTGCTCTGCGGCTGCTGAGAGCGTGTGTTTGTTCAGCGACACAGCAGCTCCTTTAAAGGAACTTTCTTGCGCTTGCATCCTGGTCTGAAAAGGAAAAACGCAGCAAGAGTTCTCGTCGAGTGGTCGGATCGGTGATTAGTGCACCGGAATTGTGGTGAAAATATAAAAGAGCTCCGAGAGTTGGAAATTCCCTCCGGTGATTTTCAAATGAGTGAAAATCAATTTTAATCTAAAAATAATCGGAAGTGTTTCCGAGACATTTTAATTTTAATAATCAAAGGTTTGACATTTTCCCTTCCAATGATAAGATTTCAAATAAAATCCGAAATATGAGATTTTCTGTGTTTTATTTAAATAGATTAAATTTTTATGAAATATAAGATTTTATTTGTCTGGAAATTCAAAATTTATTTAAAATATAATATTGTATACTATCTAATTTAGTGAATCACAGCTTTTTTATCAAATGAGTTCTTAAGATGAATATATTTCCCATCCTTAAATAGCTCAAACATTTTTTCCTACAGCTGTTGAAAATCAATAAATTACAACAATTAAGGTTCTTTTGTCCTAGAACACTTTCTGAATCTGGTTGTAGATTGCATTTTTTTTTTCAAACGATCCCACGCACTCACTTCACCATTCACTGGCTGACTGGCTTTTTAATCTGCTTGGTGTTTATTTTACAGAATACAGAACTCGGAACGATAAAAGGAGCTGCGGCATTCTGACTTGACGCCCACTTCCGTCCATAAAATTATTTAAAACCGACTCTGCTGGACACAGGAAGCTGGTCCAGCTGTGCCCAAAGCGGAAGCCTGTTCTCGCGATCTTCCAGGAAATTTCAGCAGATAAAGAAAGTCGGGAGGGAAACCTGCTCCTCGTTTTTGTACAAGAGAAAAATCCTAATGCAGCAGTAAATTTTTTGTGTGTGCAGAGTGCAACAAAGAGTCAGGAGACATGACAAAGAATAATAACATTATTATTTCCGAGCTGTACACACAGGATGCATTTTCTCGTTTGTTCCCATTCCCCGCGCGGTCGGTGCGGCATTAAATAAATATGCAGGTCATTACGCCGCTCGTTATCCGTCGTCGCTGCTGCTGGTGCATCGAACGTCACCAAAACGAACTAATTCCAAGCAGATGCCGGATATTGTGTAGGAAATCGACGGGTAAATTAAAAATCGACGTCCGTCTCCAAAAGAGGAGCTTGTGACGAAAAGAAGCAACACCCACTTGAAATTTTTCTGGTGCCAGCGGAGGCGTTGCCACGTTTTTGTTTTGTATTTTGTATATATTTATTTGTGACTGAGCGGCCCACTTTAATCACGTCGACGATGTTAATTAAGATACGGAGGATTCAACTTTGGATAAAATTCTTCTCTGCTGCGCGGGTTGCATATACAATCAACAGGCAGTGAATTTTTTTATGGAAATATACATCATATAGGTGGGACTAATATTTAAAAATTATAAAACTATGAAAATATTTTTTTAATAATTTAAATAAATGATTTTACTTCTCTAAATTTACTTTAAATGTCACGTTGGGATTGAAAAATAAACTGCGCCAAATTAGTTTTGGAATTAAAAATTTGTTCAATTCACATGAACGATTGCAAACACTGGGTGCATTGTGTGTACAGTAAAGAGAGTCGGTGGCACGTTATGCAAATCTAATAAGGCAACGCCTATTCCATTATGCCCCGTGTGTATGCGTTTGAGCATTCACACTGGCTGCGGTGGCCGCTGCCGGACTGCGTCCTACAACGGATGTACATTATTAAAGGAATTGAATGGACGTCCGTCCATCCTGCAACAATATAATCATGTAAGAAGACCCGGCCTGGATGGATTTAAGGTCTGCCTTGTTGCTTTGGTGGGAGCTCCCAAGCAGACCGCGAGACTCCGTTCATTATGCCATTAACAATTTCGGAGACATCATTACCAGCGCATTTTATTTACACAGAATCAAGTAGTGTCTCTGTTTTCTCTCTGCGACTGTTGCTTGGTCAAAGCCACCTTTCACAAGGACACCACTGCCCACTGCTGCACTTGATGCTCAAATTTAAAGAGTCAAAAATATAAAATTCATTCCAAATAAATAAACTATGTAATATAAACTTTTATAATTGTGATAATTTTGTTGCCGTTGACAAATAAAGTTATTTTATCATTTGCATCAAAATTCAGTAAATGAAAACAATTTCATTTCTTAATCAAATCACACAGCATTTTATTTAAATCTATGGAAAATGAATAACTTATTGAATAAATATTTAAAATTTTATATTTACATTTTTAAAAACTTGATATTTAAATTGAAAAATGAAATAACTTTGCAGCTTTTTTTTTAATTTAATGTGTCCTTTTTAAATGGCAAAATGTAAAATCTCATCAAAATATCTTGGATCAAATCTGGACCACACCGAATTTCCAGAATTATGCAATCGCCGTCATTTTCCTTGTCTGAGTCTCAAGGTCGGTGGTTTTAATTTATGGTGCCGATTTTCCTCAAATTCCACCGGACGCGCGCGTCTGCCTCGGCAAGCTTTCGCAGCCGCTCTTCGTTCATGTTACTCCGTATGACCTACAGTCCTCAATTAACCAGACATGAGGAATGTGCGCTAGCTAGACGGACTCCCGGCTGTAGGGTCACGATTAAAAGCAAATTACGTCACCAGTGTGCCTGCTCATTCGCGAGCACCCCTGGACGGTCGGGTGGACGAAAAAAGCGCCGGTGCACCACTTCCTTTTCTGCCAAAAATTACGGCCGCGTCGCCCAAAATGAAGCACGTGTCTAACATCTCCAGATGGAGCGATAAAGGGAAAACTCACGATTCGCGACGAGTTGTGCTGCGAAAATTAATGCCAATTGCTATGCGAGCACAATGGTGCGTGCGTTTGTTTTGCACAAAAATAAAGAAAAAAAGAATCGTGATGGTTGAGAGAGAGACGAGAAAGAATGTCAATGAGCAATTTGAAGTCCCAGTGAAAAAAAAAGTTAAAAATCTATCTCTTGAAACTTTTGAATAAGTAAAAGAACTTTAATTCCTTCAAGTTGAATTATTCGTAATCAAATGAGCGGCGATACAATTTGTCCCCGCGGTGGTGACGCAATTATTATTTCAGGTGCACGAGAACGGCGGCAGTTTGGAGGACACCAAGGTGAAGGGCAGTAAAGACTCGCTGGGTCGCGAGAAAGAGAGTGCGGCGAAGGAATTTGTAAGATTTCTGCCTGGTGCTTGGACTACCGGGGGCATTTACCTTTCGCGTTCCTCACATAACTGCCAAGGAGGCAGGTACACAATATATCCAAGTTAAAAAGCAGGAGGAGTGTTCAATTGCAGTTTAGGGAAATGATTTTTCATTCCACGTGTGCCCTACTTAGGGATACACACAAAAAAACAAGAAGGGCCCCTTTCTTGGGTGATCATACGGCCAAATTTCAAAGGAATGCGGCTCCATCTCTTTATTGAGTTGCTCATCTCACCATACAGCAAGATGAGAACAAGAGGAGAGAAATATTTTTATGGTTGCCTGCATAATGATGACCAGCAAGTTGATGCCCAATGGAATCTCGCGGTCTTGTTTTGTCTCTTGAACAAACAGTTTCCGACTATATTTTTCTCTCCACTCGAGTCGGCACCGGAGAAAACCTTTTGTTGAAAATCTTTTTCCTATCCGTGTTTGCTTAATTTCTGGCCCCCTTTTCCTCTCGGCAGTCGTAAAAAGTTTATTAAAATATCAAATAAAAAGTTGGACAAGTTAATAAAACGCGCCCGGGAATGCCGACAAGCACCATGGTGCCATCTAACCGAGCACCGCAAAGAACAAGTTGGACGCAGAGCAACGGAGCGACATCTGAAGGTCGAGTACGGCGGTGAACAATCAACGGAGAACGCAGCAAGTTATGCAAATCACTTAATATTATTTGCCCTAGTTGCTCTTTGACAAACAAGTAACAAATGCACGTCACATGAACTTAATTATTAAAAATGAAAACTTGCTTACCTTGCTTTTTCAAAGGTTGCAGATGGAGACTCGCCTATGGCTCCGAAACTCACTCCAACAGCAAGCCCCTCTGAAAAAATTAAATAAATGTCATTATTTGGAAATAAATATTTTCTAATTCAATGTGTGCCATTTAAACGCTGTGCTGGTTAAAAAAATTAAATTTTAAGGTATTGATAGACACAGGTGCCTGAATAAATTAATAATTCATAAATTTCAGTTTAAATTATTGAATAGAGGAAAAGTTAATTTTGTAAATTTTATGGCAGGAAAATTTTTGTTGAATATAAAACGATGTATGTTTTTTGAGCCTATAACAGTACCGAAAAAATCTGCAAAATTGATTATAGGGACAATTTTCTCTCCTTTCTTTACCTTTTCAAGCCCATTTAAAAAAGCATAGGAAAATATGGAAGGCCAAAGCGTGACTAATTACTTAATTACTGTACTCCATGTAACCAAATACACAAGCTTTTTTCTCTAAAACTTTTCAGTTTATTACATGGCTTCATTAGTCTAAAATATCCCTTTTCTTTGCCTTTTTTCAACTCTAGCCTGCAGTTTGAGTTTAATTAAAATCACGATTTTAGTTTTTAAATTATGTAGCATCAATTTAAAAATCAGCATCCATAATAACTTCAAATTATAAATTTTTCATTGAACTCAGATTTTCCAAATTTAATAATAACCAATTTTTGTCATAATTATTGAACCTACCAGGTATATTATGAACTGTAATAGCTATGATAAGTAGCATGATCCTCTTCCATCTCTTGTTCCCTGATGCAGTAAGAGCCGCCTGGTTCACTTGTCCCGAGTCCAAGTCTACTTGAGTAATAACACTTATACCGGAAGCTTCTGACGGAGAGGGCAGACTTTCTCTGGTGGCAACCCTTCTCCGTGTGACCGGTCCACTTGTTTCATCACAGATGCCTGGGGTCCAGAAAAAAAAGCAATTTTTAATAAATTTGTTTCAATGATTTCAAACAGAACTGGATACAGTGACAGAGGGTGAGAAAAGTGAGTCTTTTATTTACGGCTCATTCATTCTTTTGCTGTCCTGTAGGTAGTGCAGTTTAAAAAGTGGAAAGATCAAAATTAATCTCAAAATAAATGCAACTACTTCCCCACCTTGGTGACCACGTCTTGGAAATTAAGAGTTTGCATAATAATAAGTTAAAGAGGGCCAATAGTTTAGAGCGAACCTGACCTCTGGCTTTAGAAGAACTGTCTTTTTTGAGTGCCTGCTTTTTCCTCTTCGTTGTCTGCGCATCCCCACTAACCTCATTGACTGCTTCAGCAAGCAGGACTGCAACACACACCACCATCACACGTTCTTATTCGCCCTGACAACCTTTCGCAGGCGGGAGAGAGGTGATCGTGCTTATTTATCATCCAAGTCAAATCAAATCCACCTCAAATAAAAAGCAACCCTCCAAAAACAAACTAAAAGCTCAGGCAAAAAGCAAGAAAAGAATTTTTGCACTGGAAAAAGAGAAAAGAGGACTTAATGACAAAGAACCACCACCTGAATAAACTCAATTTCTATAATTATTTAAAAAAAATAATAATAAAACTTTGATAAATTTTAATGATCAAAACAAAAAGGCCAAATAAGCTCAAAAAAGGTAGGCGCCTACAACATGCAGTGTTCCCAGGCGGTCACCCATCCAAGTACTGACTGCACTCAACGTTGCTTAACTTCGGTGATCGGACGAGAACCGGTGTATTCAACGTGATGTGGTCGTAGGCATAAGTCACAAGAAAAATTTGGGTATTTATTCAACACATTTCAAATTGGGCAACCTGCCATTATGGGATTTTGTTTTGGCTTCCAACGTTACAAAGACACAGAATAATGAAGTATTCGTCATCAAAACACCAGTTTTTATATTATTTATACAAGGAAGGACTGAATTTTTTGAGACAGCAACATTTGCGAGTCAGTTTATTCCTGCGTGATTTGTATTGCATATTTGTACATATTTGATTTTCAAATAATCAAGATTTTGTATGGATCCATATTAATTTATTTATTTAATTAAGTAATGCAAAGCACAACCGTCCAACAAGATTGAGTGTGGGTGAAGCAGAACAATCACACCATTTATCCACCATTTACCTGTGTGTGTTGAGTTCAATCTAATGCAGTAGAGGTCATCAATCGCTAAAATACAGTGACCCACTTTCCACCACAGACGTTTAAATCTCATGCAAACAAAAAAGACTTTCAACCTAGCGGCCTTGAATATGCACACACTATTCTCTCTCAATTGTAATGAACGTGCTCACTCAAGAAAAATAATTCAAATTTGCGTTTGCCAATCAAGCATGTTGGAATTATTATTTCTTAGAATACCCACCGGCAGGCTCCAGTCCTGGTATGCCAAAGGTGGCGAGAAAAACGTCGGTGCCGAAGACGAAGAGTGAGCCGAGCATGAAGCCGATGGCCACCGGCACAAAGGCCCATTGACCCTCCGAGCCGTACAGTCCCGAGTCCTTGGCCATCTCGATGGCCGGCGCCAGCAGCGACCAGTACGAGGCGGCCGTCATCACGCCAGCCGCAAAGCCCAGGGAGCCGTCCAGCAGTTTTCTCTGAAATTAATATAATTTTTTATTAGGATTTGTGCTAAAATGAAAGGTGCCTTCAGGGCTTCATAGGTTCAGGAAAGTTTTATTGGCCTTTATGGCAGCGTAAAAAAGTTGTTTAGAAAGAAATGCAAGATTTTTACTACTTTTTACTCAAACAAAAAATTGAATTATTGTTTTTATTAAATTTCAAATAATTCCGATTTTATAAATTTATATAATTTAGCAATTTAATTCTTACTTGTCACAGCACAAAAAAAATGTTTTTAATGCCGTTTACAAGAGATAAAAACGACAAAGGGGAGACAAAGGGTAGCGATATCAACTCAAAACGCCAGCAGAGCACAGTTTTTAACCTTGTGAAGGCACAAAGAATTGTGCGTTAAATAAAATTAAAATAAATGGAAAAGGAAAAAAGAAAATCATTATTACACTTTTTTGTGTTGATAAAACATAGAAATTCATCTTGTAAATATGAATAGGTGGTGTAAAAATAATTTATTTTTATAGTATTTATCAATTTTTACAAACTTTTTCCTTCCAGGAGTCATATTTTGAAAACTTATGAAGCTTTAACAAATGACTGCGGCCTGTATGATTCTTCAGAATCAGACATGAAGCTATTTTAATCAAAACGCAAACACCGAGGGTAATTAAATTTAATTTGCTAAGTGAGATAAAATTGTGTGTCAACTTTCAACTTGCAATTAATTTCTTGAGTAATTGAGATAAGGGTTAACACCATTAAATTATTAGGTATATGGTTACAACAAAGACAATATCGCAAAATTCTGCTGCACAAAAAAAATACAATACGTAACAAACAATGCAATTTATGTATTTTTCGACTTTTCTTATTCATTAATTTCAGGAGGAGAGATTATCTGAGAACTAAATTTCTTAGCATCACTTAGGATGAATTAAATATCACCTGCGATCCATGGAAAAAGATGACAAGAGCCGCCCCCGCGGCTGTCATCCCCCAGGTGAAGAGGGTGCCGAGGATGGCCTGTGTCAGCGGTTCGTAGCCCTCGATCATCGCTCCTAGCCGACTGGGCGCACTTTCCGACGTAAATGACGTTTATAAACTGACCATGCTGAGATCAGCGCTGATTGTGTGACTAATGATATCGCGGCCGAGCTCAAACACAAACTTTCAGCGCCGTCCCTCAAATCGCGACACTGGCCTCCACATCTACAAAAACAAATCCAGCAGTCCCAACAGCAGTTCCACTGACACCTGGCGCGACTACTCGAGTTTTTCATAAAACATAATATATCTGCACCAATTAGTAAGCCGAAGACAATAATGGTATTATAAATATTCTTTTTAAATTATATAAAAATTAACAAAATCACAAAATGTTTGGGGAAAAACGAATTTTACCACCAAGATCAGTGAAAGTTTATATTATCGTGTAGTTTTCCAGGTTCACTATTTAAATTTTTATGGCGGGAATGAAACGCGACGAGTATAGGGGACACACGATTCATTATACAACTCGCTGGAGTCCTCGCCGCGCACGTCATTTCAACCACGCGGCAATTAAATTTTTTGGCAACGAATTATAAGTAGTCATGATAGTAGAGAATTTGTGTTAACCTAACATTTATTTTGAGCTGCACAGCTTGGATCAGCTCCAGTTGCTAAAATGCGCAGATTGCGAAACGATCGAGACGTATGTTAATCATAAAATCATATACAACAATAAGTTAATTACTTAAAAATTGAGACTATAGCGGCGTGCCTTACACAAAAATTAAATTTTTAGAAAAATAATCTCTCTATCGTCTGTGCATTTTTTAATTAGTAAAAATCTCTTGAAGTCAATTATAAGATTAATACTCATTTTAGTCTTTTTATTACGTGGTTCATACCAGTTACTAGGTTCATACAAAAAATTAACAAAATTAATATCAATAAATATTTAATAATACACGATTAAAATGCTAAAAATAAAAACAGTGAAAAAGATCATAAAATCAGGCTAATAAAAACCCCATTAGATAACAACAATAAAATGAGAAACTGTCTCATCTAGAACCTGGACACTTATAGTCTAAGAAGTCTTGAAAGGAGAAACCCATCCTCCAAATGCTTTCTCCAGTTCTTCAGCCACAGCAATAGTCATTCGATCACAGTGCATATTTCCAATCACCTAATTAAAAAAAAAAATATATATAAAAAATACCAAGGCTAAAAATACTCATCACTACCTGCACACCAAGAGGGAGTCCTTTTGAGTTCAATCCCATAGGGACCTGCGTGGCTGGCAGCTTCAAAGCGTTGATAATGGCAGTGTAGGTTATGTTCCAGAACTGGAGGTGAGCAGAGCAGTGATAAAATGCAGGAATGGGGTGAGTTGGGTACAGGAGAACGCCATCTTCACCCATTTCACGCTGAATTATAAAGGTTAAAGCAGAATTTCAAAATAATTTAGCATAAAAATAACCTTTAGGTCATCCAAAAGAGATTTGATTGTGTCTTTCGCCCACTGAGGATTTGCTTGAGGCATTTGCATGTCAATGAGTCTCATAATAGATGGAAGGGTGTACGGACTTGTACCAGTGAAGAACCGCAGAACCTCCCACCACCAAGTAACAGTTCCCTAAAAGGAAATAAATTACGGTAATAATAAACTTACAAGATAAAAAAATTTACATTTCGATTTGTTAATTCGTAGGGCAGTCTTTCTGGTTCCTGAGTGATCATGTAGCGCCATAGTTTGTAACCATATTTCCAATTGGGCAACTCCAGCTTCTTCGGAGTTTTTCCAGTCAGCTCTCCCAGGTACTTCACAGCTTTTTTTAGGGCATCCTTTTGATCTGAGCTGATAGGACTTACTTTGAGATCGCCACAGTCGTCTTCAATATAAAAAATCCGCAGATTTTTCACATCAACCTAATTTTTTTCATTTGTAACTAAAAACCTTCAGAATATATATTATTTTAAGATTTACTTTAGTTTCGAGGTCAAGTTTGACCTTGCTGCCTCTCATCAAAACTTTCATGGAAGGAAGCAAATCTTCGGCATATCTGCATAAAGGACCAGGAACGGTCATTGATCGTTCAGTGTTCTCTCCAAGTTTCCTGATTATTCCTTGTAAATTAATCATTCCTGTTGAGGGTTTGTGGCCAAATATTCCACAGAAATAGGCAGGCATTCGAATAGAGCCTCCAATATCAGTTCCAATTCCCAACGGAGATCCACAGGCAGAAATCAGGCTTGACTACAATTAACAAATTTGGTTCTATATAATTTTTAGGACCAGAAACCAGAAATGAGAATAAACCTCTCCTCCCGACGATCCTCCAACAGTTCTGTTAGTATCATAGGGGTTGTTGGTTTGGCCATAGACATTGCATCTTGTTTCGTACCACATGCTTAATTCTGGAATATTTGTAAGCACAAATGGAATGGCTCCAGCAGTACGCATTGATTTGGTGACTTCAGCATCGACAGCGGCCCTCTCATTTTTTCTCAAAATTAGTCCAAACGTCCATCTCATTCCTATAAAATTTTTATATTAAAAAATAAAATTTCATTTTCATCAATTTTATCTATTGTACGTCGATAACATCAGCAGTCATTATAACAGAAAGAAGATAATATTTTAATAATACAATTAGTTTAACTTCACCTTTGACACCAATTATTTCTTTCATGGAAATGGGAACTCCGTGAAAAGGCCTTTCCTTTTCCAATCTCTCCTTGCTCCATTCACCACTTTCGATCATCCGGTCTGCCTCTTTTGCTTCCTCGATCGCATCCTTAAACCTTTCATCAACAACTGCGTTGATCACCCCATTTACTTGAGCAATTCTTGCTATGCAGGCATTAATCACATCGACACTTTTCAACTGAGTGGATCAAAATTGAATATTTAAATAATAAAATTAAAAATTTCTTACATCTCCGTTACGGATTTTCCTTGCAATTGAAGAAGCGCTTTCAAGAAGGAAAGGGTGATCCACATTAGAAATGTGCTTCCTTGTGGTGTCATTGTAGTACAGCCCAAAGAAAAAGTCAATGATGCAGTCGTAGAGGGAGTGTAACATCCTCAAAAAGATGAAAAGGCCTTTCCAAGCCACGGCTGCATAATTTGGCACCTGGTTACCTCCCTTGGACATCTAAAATTAATTAAAATTTATTTACTTCAAGGTATTCTTTAAATTGAATAAAAATATTTTTAAAACATCAAAAATAAAGGAATGTATAATTAACATTAATTATTTAAAAATTTTAATTTCTTATTTATGAGGCCGGCTTCCTTACCATTATCGTACAGCTCAACTTAATTATCGAAAATTACACCAAATGATAATTTTTCTTACAAAAGGTTAAATTTCGTAACAAAATACAAATTATTCTGAAGAGACACTATTGCCTTTTCACAGTTGCAGCTTTAATAGAATGATGAAAATTTGTCGCAATTCTTGATTTATGTACATTTTCTATCTTAAAATTTCAACACATTAATTTTATCTCTCTTAGATAATTTTAATACTAACAATAAGTACACTTTAATTATATTTATTTATGCACAATTTAACTTATCATTTACTTTTATCAATTGAAATTGTGTCGTAAAAATAATATGGGGTTATTGCATGATAAAAGATAAAACAAAAACATTATTTACGTGTAAAATATAATAAAAGCCGATAAAAGCCGCATCAAGTGCCACAGTGCCCAACTCATAATTATTATTGAGACATAAATAGCCACACAGATTTCGAAATATTTTATCAAGACAGGCACCCGCCATCTAGTTCTTTCTAATCGTTCTATGAACTTGAATTAAAAGATAATAAATGCATTATGATGCACTATAAAAAGCTGAAATCTTCTGGATCTGGAATGCAAAAAATGTATGCCTTGTAATGCAAAATTAGCGGAGGGATTGAATTTATAGTGATTTTAAATATTTCACACTTTAGAAATAAATAAAATATTAAATTAGAATTTTAATTCTTATTATTTCATGATTTTAAAAGCTTTTTACCATCAGCATTTAAAGAGACAAAAACAAAAAAGTCATATAGGGAAGCAGAAGGAAGCTAAAACGTCGACAGAGTAGTTTCAATGACATTTTCTGGAAGGCACAATGAATTTTACTTCAAATAATATAAAAATGATAAAAAATGAGCAACAGTTAGAAAATTGAAGTATGTTTACTTTAAGGAAATTATATATATATATATATATATATGTAATTTTTAATTTATGTTCAAATCATTTAATTTGCTACGTTTGATAAAATTTTGTGACCATGCACTTACAATAAAATTGCTATTTAATTGCCTGAGAAATTGAGACGACTTTTAGTGTCTATAAAACAGCACAGCACTGATAATAATATTAATAACATAATATATGAATGTGACAGAATGTGTGCAAAAAGGGAATTAATTTGAGATAAATAATAAGTAATTATAAATTGCCACAAACGAAAGACAAGGTCTGGATGTAAAATACATAGCATAAATTACCATGGTACTATAACTGCACACTTTAAGGAAAGAGTGGATTTGATTATATTATCACCTGCAAATTGTGATCCATATAAAAAGATGACAAGAGCCGCCCCAAATCTTTTAACCCCCGGGTGAAGAGGGTGCCGGATCAGCGCTGATTGCTGATGGTGTGACTAATGATATTAAGGGCATTTTGTATTTTGTGGCCACTGACTATTATTTTGAGCTTATAGTAATCTGTGTCTGCAATCGCGGCTAAGCTCAAAGATCGTGCAAATATTAACTTCTCACTATTTCAGCGCCCTCCCTCGACAATTTAATCATCATGAAATCTGAAATCTCGAAACTGGCCTCATAATCCACACACAGAGGCCTGGATCCCGGACTTAAGGCGCGCTCGCGGGCGCCTAAACCCGGATGGGCCGCAGTTCAATTTAGCATTTAATATACATAGTCTCACCTAGTGTCAAGTCTTCTCGGGAAAAGGTAGACAGCGCCGTTGAACTGGACCATGTTATCTCAATGTTATTCGCCCTGATTCGCCCCATGGGCCGCGGAGCCCCAGTGCGCTAGTACGGCCTCACGCACATTTATATTAATTTAAATAATTCCCATATCCACACTTAAAAAATAAAAACCAAAACAAACAAAACCAGCCCAATGGACCAGCAGTTCCACACCTGGCGTGACTTCTTGAAATACTGTTCATTGAACCTTATTATCGCTTATTATATTCTTATTATTTCTGCGCCCATATAAGCTGGTAGTGGCAAAAGGCAAAAAAATATCTTATTTTCGCTAATTTTTATACAATTAATATTTTTGGAAAAAAATTAAATTATCTGATTTGAGTTTTTAGAATGAAAATAATGAAATCATATTTTGCCACAATCAAATAATACTAATAGTGTAATTCTAACATACTTGTCAACAGCGCACAAAAGAATTATTCTAAGTTACATTATATATCGAGTAGTTTTCCCAGGCTTCATAATTAAAATTTTTTAGGAGGAAAAGAAACGTGACGAGAGATCGATAAAGTGAATTGTGCCATTGATTTGATTGATTGATTAGAAATAAATTAAACGAAATTCATGTAATGATTACTGGCCCTTAGGTGGTGATTTTTTATAGGCTAGTTGCATGTGAAAGCGTTAAATAAAAGAATTATATTGAATGTTCTGATTACACAATAAAGTTCTTGTTGGAGGCTAGAGGTCATTCACCTCAAACAACAATCAACTGCACAAGCATTATAACTTAAAAATAGTCTTGATGGTCAAGACGATTTTGTTATTGCAATTTAATTTTAGCTGCACAGCTCAGGTTACCTCCCAGTTACTAATGTTTCTATTGAAGCGAGAGATTCATGTATTTTATAATCTTGCTTCCACATCAGACTTATGTGGCACTGTTTTTGTTCAGTGATATTGAGTCAAATTTAAGTAAATTACAAATATCATGCGTTTTTTAAGTTAGCTTATCATTAAGTTAATTTGTAATATCTAACCATATCTTATTAATTGGAAATCACATCAGTTTTGTTTAAATGATAAATATATGATTCATATTAAATTTTTATTATAAAAACCATAAAAACTTATGTGGTTTAAATTTAAACATGCAGAAAACATATAATATCAGAAAAATAATTAATGAATAATACACATGGTTTAATGTGACATAAAAAAATCACAAGATACAGTAAAAATTATAAAATCAATCAAATATAGCCCCTAATAGCCAACTGCAAAAAAAATGAGAACCTGGCTGGTCTAGAATCTGGACATCTAGTCTAAGAAGTCTTAAAAGGAGGAACCCATCCTCCAAAAGCTTTCTCCAGTTCTTGAGCCACAGCAATAGTCATTCGATCACAGTACATATTTCCAATCACCTAAAAAAGAAAAAATTATTTACAAAAAAACCAAGGCTTAAGATACTCTTCACTACCTGCACACCAAGAGGGAGTCCCTTTGAGTTCAATCCCATTGGAACCTGCGTGGCTGGCAGTTTCAAAGCGTTGATAATGGCAGTGTAGCTGAAGTTCCAGGGTCGGAGGTGAGCAGAGCAATGATAAAATGCAGGAATGGGGTGAGAAGGGTACAGGAGAATGCCGTCTTCGCCGATTTCGCGCTGAATTTTTAGGGTCAATGCAAAATTTCAAAATAATCTGATTTTAAAAGAACCTTTATATCATCCAAAAGAGACTTGATTGTGTCTTTCACCCACTGAGGATTTGCTTGAGGCATTTGCATGTCAATGAGTCTCAGAATAGATGGAAGGGTGTACGGACTTGTACCAGTGAAGAACCGCAGAACCTCCCACCACCAAGTAACAGTTCCCTAAAAGGAAATAAATTACGGTAATAATAAATTTAAAAGATAAAAAAAATTTACATTTCGATTTGTTAATTCGTAGGGTAGTCTTTCTGGTTCCTCAGTGATCATGTGGCGCCACAGTTTGTAACCATATTTCCAATTGGGCAACTCCAGCTTCTTCGGAGTTCTTCCAGTCAGCTCTTCCATGTATTTAACAGATTTTTTCAGGGCTTCCTTCTGATCTGAACTGAGAGGGCTAACTTTGAGATCGCCACAGTCGTCTTCAATATAAAAAATCCTCAGATTTTTCACATCAACCTAATTTTTTATATTTATAACTAAACCACTTAATTAATTTAAGATTAACCTTAGTTTCGAGGTCAAGTTTGACCTTGCTGTCTCTCATCAATACTTTCATGGTCGGAAGCAAATCTTCGGCATACCTGCATAAAGGACCAGGAACAACCATTGAAGGTCCAGTATTCTCTTCAAGTTTCCTGGTCAGTCCTTGCAAACTGATCATTCCTGGAAAAAAACGATATTTAACTATGAATTTTTTTATGATCAATAATTTAAACCTGATGAGGGTTTGTGGCCAAAAATTCCACAGAAATAGGCAGGCATGCGAACAGAGCCTCCAACATCAGTTCCAATCCCTAATGGAGATCCACAGGCAGTAATTAGGCTTGACTGGGATCAATAATTTTGTTTTTAGTATCTCGGCCCAGGAAATAAAATAATTACCTCTCCTCCTGATGAGCCTCCTACAGTTCTGTTAGTATCGTAGGGGTTGCTTGTTTGGCCATAGACATTGCACCTCGTTTCGTACCACATGTTTAATTCTGGAATATTTGTGAGTACAAATGGAATGGCTCCAGCTCTACGCATTTTTAAGATAACTTCAGCATCGGCAGGGGCTCTCTCATTTTTTCTCAACATCAGCCCATACGTCCATCTCATTCCTAAATGTTATATAGTAAAAAATAAAATTAGAATTTCATCTCTTTCCATCTCATCAATGAATCAATTTTTCACTGTCACCAAATAGATCAATGGGTACAACAGTGGATTTCATCAGATTTGATTAAGAAAACAAGTCATTTAAAAGATTATTTGAAGGCCAAATTTAGTTTTTATTTTATTTTCTTTCACCTTTGATTCCAGTGCTTTCTTTAGTGGAAATTGGCACACCATGAAAAGGCCTTTCCTTTTCCAATCTCTCCTTGCTCCATTCACCACTTTCAATCATCCGGTCTGCCTCTTTTGCTTCCTCGATCGCATCCTTAAACCTTTCATCAACAACTGCGTTGATCACCCCATTTACTTGAGCAATTCTTGCTATGCAGGCATTAATCACATCGACACTTTTCAACTGAGTGAGCAGAGGTAAAATGGATCAAAATTGAATATTTAAATAATACAATTAAAAATTTCTTACATCTCCGTTTCGGATTTTCCTTGCAATTGAAGAAGCGCTTTCAAGAAGGAAAGGGTGATCCACATTAGAAATGTGCTTCCTTGTGGTATCATTGTAGTACAGCCCAAAGAAAAAGTCAATGATGCAGTCATAGAGGGAGTGTAACATCCTCAAAAAGATGAAAAGGCCTTTCCAAGCCACGGCTGCATAATTTGGCCCCTGCTGGTTACCTTCCTCAGGCATCTAAAAAATATAAAATAAAATTTAATTAAAATAAATTTTAAAGTTCATTTATAGGCATCAATATTTACAATGAGAATTTTAAGTAATCACGAGTTGTCCAAGAAATGGTATGATTTAGGATTTAGGTGTTTTTATTAAAAAAAATATTTTTAAATTAATTAGTTTTAATTTACTTTAATCAATATGATTCAATATAAATTGAGCCATAAAAATAACATGCGATAAGATAAAACAAAATCATTTGTGTACGTGTAAAATTCAATAAAAAGCCACGAGCAGTGAGCAATGAGCAACTGCATGCCTATTTTAATTTTACGTACCGAAATTGTAAAGTTAGAGATTAAGACCATTTTTATCAATACACACGCACTGTCTAATACTTTCCGATCGTTCTATGAACTTGAATTGAAATTAATTTTAATTACATGATTACAAACGAAAGCTAACTATATAAAATTATAATTTCACTATCGAAGCTGAAATCTTCTGATTCTGGCTATGCCGGCTTGCAAAATTATGCCTTGTAATGCAAAAGGTGCGGACGAAACGCAATGACAGCGTTGCATTTTATTTATGAACGCTCGATCGAGCCGAGCTTAAGCTGGAGAAAATAAAATAACTCCACGAAAACTCCAGTATATTTCGTAGAAATTTGGAGAAAGTTTAAGAGAAAACTCACATTAGCCCTGCGCGACTTCATTTTCGAGCAGTTGATTTCGTTGAATGAGAACTGATATTCATCAACCAAATCGCAAATTTCACCAAAGAAAGATTCTCTGTTTAGAAATTTCAATTGGAAAAATTATTGTGGTCTCATGTCCGCCCACGGTTGCGACAAGGCAGAGGCAGAAGCACTAGGAACGCAAAGCAACTAAAGGTCGCTCATACATGGAAATGGAAAGCAAGAAATAAAAAAATAAAAATACAGTACATAGAGGGGAGAGGGAAATTTCCACCATGCTGCTGCGCTGCGCACTGCGCACTCCATTGCAGATTGCCCTAAGGCGTTATTAGTCGTAAAAAAAACATGACAAAAATATACAATAATTTTTAACGTCTTGTGAAGGCTTATTAAGATTTTTATTGTATTTAAATGGAAATGTATTATAGGTATACTAATTTTATTTGGTACGTTTTGCTTATTTATTGAAAATATTTTGTTTCAGAACTTAGTTATTTTACTGTCACGTTGGCAATTGCAAAAAAGGGCCTCCGCTCGGCTTGTTTATCTTTTACTACCACCGATTATCTAATATTTATTGATTTCCATGTGTAATTAATGATTGTAATCACCGTTTCATGTATCCCTATTTACATGAATGACAAATAAGCCGTAATCAAATGTCATTACGGGTGAGTTCGCCTCCGGTGTGGAGTTTTCTCCAGTGCTTGTCTCACCGCCCTGTCCTGTGTGCTTTTGTTTACAGGTCTATTTTCCTGATGTAGCGCTTCGGGAGGGATACTTTCGACAAATATTTCCACTGCTGTGATCATATAAATTGTGTTCTCCAAGATGATGTGGGACGAGCCCATGTTCGAGGCGGTCTGCCGCCTCTGTGCGGGCTCCGAAGACGTCTGCATCCCGATTTTCAGCAAGGATGGTGATACTAGGCTCTCAGAGAAGATCAAAAGATGTTTACCGATGATTTCGGTAAATATTACACCGTGAAAATATAATTTTTATGTAAACAATGCAACGTGCTATATCCACAGGTGTCCCAGGCTGATGAGAAACCGAAGCAACTATGTTACCACTGCTTATCAAAACTCGAGTTGTGCTATGAATTAGTTGAATGCAGCTTGGCCTCTGACTACAAGTTTGACTCAATAATCCACTCTCAGAATGGCAACTTTATGTGTACGGATGCAAACCAGAAGCTCATGATGCCAGTTTTACAAGTACGTAAAAGCCACTTTGATTGCATTTTTTTTATTGCTCTTTTTAGTTAAAGCTAAAACATATTAGTATTGTTTTATGCTCTTCAATTTCAAGTCATACAAAAAAAAGATAATATGAAAAGTGAGGGAACTGGCGCACCCCTGACAAACTGGTTGTCCTTAAGAGAGGGTGGGGCCGTACAGAAATGAAACATGTTCAACAAAAAGAAATATATTATCTCATCTAATGATATAAAACCTTCTTTCTTAGGATGAAGAGGATAAACACAACTCGATGCAAGCAATTCCAACTGCCCTGGAGGTGAGTTCGTTAATCGAGCAGGACAACATGTGGACACTCATGAGAGAGGCAGCTGAAGAGCTACACAATCCTGGCTCTCAAAACTCTCTGGGCCACCATAGTCCATCGCCCTTAGACCCATCGCCACAACAGAATTTGCAGTCCTCGGTCACTTTGGAGCAGGTGGCTCTGGACCAAATCCCTTCAGACAGACTCATAGTTCTGGGAAAAGTATATTAAAGATTGCAGTGCATTTTAATTTTAATTGTTAATTTGTGATCATTTTTAAGGTGGACGCTAGGGAAGAAGTCAGAAATATCGATCCTTTGGCAATTAATAGAAATTTGCCTGATGGCTGTACGGATATTTTGCTAATGGTTGAGTTGAAGTACAAAGACTTGCTGAGCGGAGAGGCTAACGGAAAGGTCTCTACCATCACTTACACAAATCAAACCTCGGCTGTTTTAAATCAGTAAGTAAAATTGTGAAAACAATTTTTTTTTGCAAAAATAAATTATAACTTCCTAGAAATGAGGAAATCATGTTTACCGTTTAAATAATTTTAAATGAAAGATACTTGGTGCTTAATTAGTTTGTATATTTTAAAATTGCAGATTGAAAGTTAATCAGGACCAAGAGCCTTTGGTAGACCTTGTGGCAACTGCTCAAAACACTGATTGTGAGGCCCTCATGGCTGCTCACCAAGCTCACCCAATTGACCAAAGCGTTAGTGAGGGCATCAAGTATCAGCAGACGTCGCCCAAAACAAAGCCTCAGGAGAAGTTTCCGTGTGAGATTTGCAAGAAGCTGTTTGTTCGTCGCTCCAATCTGAAGGTGCACATGGCTGCTCACTCTGACATTCGCCCATTTGCCTGTGACATCTGTGCCCAGCGCTTTCCCTCACAGTGGGCCGTCACCCTTCACAAACGGCTGCACAGCGGAGACTTCTGCTGCGAATTTTGTGGCAAGAAGTTTTCGGTCAAGGTGAACTATTTTGTTTCATATTTGACTAATCAATTGTTTCACTTCTGGTTAGGAGTTGATTTTTTTTTCAAATTTAAATATTAATGATAAAGATATTTGAAATATTTATATTCAGTGGACTTTTCTTTTAATTATTCCAAAACTGTATAATTTAAAAAATTAAACCTAACTGAAATAGCAAGGATTTTTTTTATTGATTTTGAAGTATCAATAAAGTTGAAAATTCTCTTGTTTCTAAGTTTATAATGAGAAATTAAATTTTGCAGGGCAAGCTAGAGCGGCACCGGCGCATCCACACAGGTGAAAAGCCGTTTGTCTGTCCTAAGTGCTCAAAAGCGTTTTCGGACAAGCGGAACTTGCAGTCTCACATGCGGTGCCACACTGACGAACGGCCCTACTCGTGCGACGTGTGCCACAAGGCCTTCCGGGCCAAGTCTCACCTGATCGACCATAACCGGGTGCACACAATCGAAAAGCCCTTCATCTGCCACATATGCGGAAAGAGCTTTAAGTGGAAGCCGACCCTGAACCTGCACCTCAAGTGCCATGCTGGTGAGGTCTTCACCTGCAACATCTGCGGCAAGACCTTCTCTCGGAGGGCCGACCTGAAGAAGCACATTTTGTGCCACACGATGGACCGGCCCTACAAGTGCGAGGTGTGCGAAAAGAGTTTCAAAGATCCAAAGACTCTACGCAAACACCGCAAAAACCACACCGACAACTTGCCAGGTGGCATCTACAAATGCATCAAGTGTGACAAGATCTTCCGCTCTCGCTGGTACTTGCAAAACCATTTTGCCAGCCACTACAAGATGCCATTTCACTGTGAGGTAAAGTTAGACCTTTTTTAGTAAATTAAATTTTAATTAATTTTCCATTCAATAACTGCTGGTTTAACTTTTGAATTTTTAGTCCCAAGAACATAATTTGTATCATTTTTATCCTTAATAACATGCAATTTGAATAAAAGAGTTTGAGGATTTCTTTCTTGAAAATTTTTTTAAATATAAAATGACTTTTTCAGGAAGTATTTATTGCTTGATGATGATTTATGTCAATAATCATATAATATTTGAAATTTAAAAGGACAATTTTTTGTGTTCCAGGTGTGTGGTGAATATTTTGAAAGCAAGGGTAACTTTGTGGTCCACCTCAAGTCGCATGACATGCAGGAGTTTGCCATCAAACAGAACAACGCCACAACCTCAATGGTAAATCTGTAATATTGATAATGATAATTGTGAAGAGTATTTTGGCTGTTCAAGTATATAAATATTATTGCTGTATGATAATTGATTGTGATACAAGTACTACAACAACAAACTGCTGTTATTATGATCGTTTTTTAATTTTGTGTTCATTTTTCTGTAGAATCTCGACTTTCTCAAAAATGGATTTTTAGACGAACCATTTTTTATTGTGAACTTTGACTATGATAAATGATGATCATGCATTGTGAAGTAATATTAATTCATGAATAATTATGTGATTAGAGCCCATATCAGGGATGTAATTACCAAAGATGGTGTCATTTTCAGCATGTAACTGTCGCCCATCTGACATCATTTTAATTTGATCACAAACAAACGCATTTCTCTCCGGTTAGAATTAATTATTAATAGTAATATTTGTTGATAGAATTCTTTTTGACCTCCTCATTACTCATAAGCTTTGGTAGCCAACAATTGTAATTTTGTGCTGATAATAATTCATAAGTCTGCCGGTATTTTTCCCCACTACGAATGCAGAAATTTGCATTTTCCTTTCGGCCCGCTCCTTTCAAAGAAGTGGGGATTTTAAAAAGCAATAATTGTGTAAATTTATTTTTAAGTTGCAACCTTTGAATCAAAATGTTCACTTTACAAACACGGGCACTTCATTGCAGTCATTTTCAATTTCCTGACGTATTCCAGTAACGGGTATTCATGTTTCAACATAATCGTGATGGTGATTGATGTTTTCAGAGAAAGAAAGTGAATAATGCAACAACAACAAAACCTCTCATAGATCTGCTGTGTATAAAAAAAAATGTTTTTACGAATGTAGTAGCTGTAAGGTGTTGTACATTAATCGAATAAGTTCATTGATTTCTCTCGCCTGATAGGTTTTCACAACAATGGTTTCAGCTAACATCGATTGCACTTAAATAGAAGCATCAGCAACAAAAATGAGCTAACATTAGCCCTTACAAGTTATTATAGAGATGTAATCGAAGCATTACAAAATGCAATATTTAAGTGTGTCACTCTCACATATTAACCCAGCATTTTACGGACTTAATTCTCTTTGATGTGTATTCAATTGTGATGATGTTCTTACCTAAATGAAATTTCTATATTAATATATAAATATTTATTAAAAAAAACGCTGGTGTCCCAAACGGACGGCATTGATATAGTATTAATACGGATCGATTAATGCTGTTGCTACTACTGAATGGAATCCTAAATTTTCATTGTGAATATATTTCAGACTGCTTTTCAGTGATAAAACGACGACTACAACTAAAAAGAGTTTAACGACGTTTGTATTTTATTCAGATTAAAAACAAAAAGATTGAAAAATGAAAGCTTAGCTGTGCCAGTAAATTTAATGTCGATAAAAGAAAATCTTGGAGTAATGATAATTTGCGTAGAGAGACAATTTTTTAACCCGGCTTGGAGCGTTCTCGCGGCGAATGGGAATTTTGTCGCCGCTCATATAATACATTTTAGTTTTAGTTGCGTAGGAGACTTTACTTTTGACAAAGTCGCTGTTAGATAGCATGATGCATGCGTCGTATTTTACTACAAACTAGGCGATTAAGATGATAATTGCATTAAAATGTGACTAGTGATATATGGAGCATCTTTCATGCAAGGTGAGACAAATCGGAGATAATCTTAAACCATGCATTGATTGGCAAATTGTGTACATCATGATGTAATAAATTGGACAGAACAAAATTTCGTTTATTATTTTCTCGTCTGGTTCCTTCACGTAATAATTATTGGAATAATTAAGTCTCATAATGCAAAGTTTGAATCAAAAACATTTTCACTTATGTGCTTTATTTACTAAAATTGCATTAATAAAAATCTGAGCAAAAACCGAATGGAATTAAAAATGTCATCATTTAAAATGTTTTCTGTTCATTTTTTTTTCTGTTCCATCCAAGAATTCCGTGCCACCAAAAAGGAAAAATCGCAGCCGTTTCTTTTTGCGAACATCGACGGCGCATTTAATTGTGACATTATGCAATCAGAAACATGTTTTTCCCTTTCAGAGTAGGAAGCTGGACATAATTAATTAGTTCGATGGCTGAAATGCGAATGAAAACTTTATCTAGTAACATCAGCGACTCGACAAGAGCAAGCGCCAGCCATGGAGATTAATTTATTTATATAGGGAATGGCTCCAGCGGCATATCCATACCGATCTTATCATCTGAACACGGTCTTACTTAACCGAAAGCTGCAAAAAGAGTTAATTGTGGAGACGCGGACATTGCAGAAAAACGCGAATTCCTCGACGGAGAACAATAATAATGAGTCCGCGGGACTCGCCATTGTTTTTCTCCGGCTGCTTTTATCTGCGACGATCTGCCTCTCTCGGACCGCCGCGAGATGCTCATAGATGTATTATTATTTCCATTAAAAAAGCAAAGGAGTAAATTGTAATGGGGAACACCAGTGTTGTTGACTAATTCATATTCAAGACACGAACTCGGATCGCTCAACCGCGCGGTGGCGCACAAGAAATAAAAGGTAAAACGCTGTTGTTATTTCTTTCGACAACAACGCCGGCATGCAATAATCAACACTGATCCTTTGTAACACTCGTGGATTATCACGATTTCCACGGCAGCTCACTTTCCAACAATCTAATTAATATCTCATGCACCTCCCCAACTCGCTACTGGTGTTGCTAACTTTTTTTGCGCGGTGCCTGATTTATCGGCTGGTCTATCTGACACTTATAGTACAATCAAGATTAACGCCGGATTTAACTCTCTATTAATTAAATTGAAATAGTTTTATCTCCAGTACCATCTGCTTTTGAATCGTAACATTCTTTAATTGTATACAGCACAGGCCACCTATATTATTGTTTTCTAGTCCCCTATCAATTGGTATAGAGAAAAAAAATCTTTAGCATAAACAAAACATGCCGATATCAATGTCCTTTAGTTCACTTCTATATTTTCCTAATTATTGCAGGTCTATTTACAAAATTTAAATGTTCTACTTAAACCATATTGTATGATCATAGTAGCTTCAAATGTATAAAAAAGCTTTTTTGCATAATGAAGAACGTCATTTTAATAATAGATAAATTTTCACTTTCATTTGATCCATTTTTTTTCATGTTCATTTAAATTATAATTATTTTGAGTAAATAATTAGCTACACGTAATTATTTTAATTATTTAGACACATTTTAGGTTTACCCAGCACAGTTTCACAGTTAAAATAATTTTTGCATTTAGTTCAGGGGTCTTGTTTCAGAAAAAGCATCTTCTGCTCAGCCAAATGTATATTTGTTGGATTGTAAAACCCCTAAAAACTAACAAAGTAGTTTTGCCGGGTGTGTTTTCTTTTTATATTTTTTAGCTTTTCCTGTTTACCTCCGCGATGAGTGACACCAAAACCACCATTCAAAGCGCATAAGGTGAAATTAGAGCTCAAAAACACCCATGTGCGCCAGCCACCGGTGTCAGTCGGCACGGATGAATAAAAATTTCACAGATGCGCGCACATTTCATATTTCAAACAAATCGACGAGGAAGGAAAGTGATGCACCAAAACGTGGAAACGTAGGCAAAGATAAAACGGTGCTGATTACAAAGTAATGCATCTGCGTCACTTCCTGGACTAGGAAAAAACGCAGCATAGATCCGCATAGATCTTTTGCATCTTTTAATTTGAATTGAATAAGTGATGAAAAAAGGGGAAAAAGTAAATTCCAAATAATATAAATTAATGGAGTATTAAAAAAATTATCTGTTTATTTAGTATGTTGTGATATTATCATATTGCTAAAATAAAGGTATTGTCAGTCAGTGCAGACAATATTATTTTTAGTTTTTATTACAAAAGAAATGGAATAAATTTGCATTTATTTGTTTCATTAAAACTGTAATTGATCTCGTGTCTTGTGAAGTTGCGTAACACGTTATATTAATAATATATGCACTGATTGGAATATTTTATTTTAATTTAACTTCATTATTTTTCTCGTTGCATTATTTAAAAAAATCAAATTTATATTTAGGAAAATGTGGAATTTCATTATTGTTTTAAAACCAGTTCAATGAGAAGGAATTTTAGAAAATTACCATCTTAAATCGCAGAAGATATTTCATATATTTAATTAATTGTATTAAAATAAACCACACCAGCGTACTTTCATTATGTACGGTGTGTTAAAAAAATCCTGCCGGCCACATGTGACCCCATAGCCATCTGCGTGTGTGTGTTTTGAGTAAATACCAATCTGGCCTGGTAACTAAGGACACTTCCTGCACGGCCCATTGAAGGGCGGCGAGCTCAAAGCCGACGCGCAGGGGTGTCATGTGTTACACCCAAGCAGATGCCCAAATGCTGCTGCACCCCCAACTTAACGCCACATTTGCACTTCTGGCCGCTGCGAGTTTTGCGCTGTGTGGAACGGGAGCGGCACAATTAGTCGGCGGGGGCGCTAAAGATGGATGTGACACTTGGCGCCTACGGTCCGACCAGAGGGCGAGGATCCTGTCTGCCCGACTCTCTGACTTAAACGTGTGTGGCCGCCACACACCAACACTTTTACACACCCTTAAGGTTGTTGCCCTTCATGGGAAACTCATGCTCCCGCACATAGACTCAAGTAAGAAAAGCAAAAACGCGGGGCTTGCGACCAATAAATCTTTAATTTTGTCAAGTTTTGCTTTGGACAGAAATTTTTTCAAATGCTTGCATGTGTGGCAAGAAGAAAGGGCGCTATTAACTGAAGATATGCGCAGTTTTTCCCCGCCTAATATACTCACTTAAGTATTTTTTTTCTTTCTATTGAGTGTGCAATATTAAATTTGTTTGACAACCAGAAAGCGCTATATTTCAATTATTAAAAAAGATTGAACTTCCGTTCAAAATTTTGTTCAAAACTCAATATTTTCTAATATTTGCTTTTTTCGCATTATTAAATGCTTTAAATGTTTAATTTTGATATGAGGAATATTATGAATAATTTAGTGCAATATTTGGCCTATTTCTGTGGAAAAAAATTGCACAAAAATTCAACAATATCTCAAAGTATATTCCAATACAAATTTTTTTTTAATATTAATATCAACATTCTATAAATGCGACTATAATTATAAGTTTAAATATAATTATAAAAAAAAATTAATAGTCAGGTTAATATTTAATTTCAATCAAGTTTTAAATTATTGGAACAAGGGGGAGATATTTTTTTAACGAAAATTTGTGTTTTAATAATTGCAAAACAGAAATGAACTTTAATTCAAGAGGCCTTGTTTGTATCATAAATTTTGCTTTTTTTGAGATCTTGAGAAAAAGAGGTCGAGAGATTGCAAATATAATCGAGTGAAAGCGTCTCCAATTGCGCTTCTTGTATGCAAAATACCACACGATTCAGTCATATTCATTTATCGAGGATTCGTTGATGAGTAGCAAAATCAGCATGAGTGCAGATTTGCACCTTTTCCTCGAGACGCGCCAACCTCCTCTTGAATTAGTGATGAGCGCTACAAATTCCTCTTCAAGTCGACGAACAGTCTTCTTTTTCACACGATTAATTTCCTGGCGTGCAATTTGCACACACACATGCTCCTCAGGCGCGTTATATGTGTTGGTATTAGTTAGTGGAAAATATTGAGTTACAGGAAGGCGACCGCCCTGCGCCGGTGACAAAGATAAACAAGACGAGAGCGCCGCTTTATTATAACTTGGTTAGCGTCGTCGCGCAACGTTGAGTAATTAATGCTTCAACGTTTCGCGCCGCCAAAGAGTGCAGCGCACATATTTCATTCGACCACCACTTCCGCACATGACTGCAAAAACCGTTAGTTAAATATTTGCTGTCCTAATTAGTCCACCCTCATTAGGAAAAATTAACAAGCAAAGGAATGTCATAATCTCGGGTACAGCTTGTTTTGAAAATTGCTGTTTCTTTAAATAAATGTCTATTTGTCAAGATTAATTTCTCCATTTACAGAGAAAAGTGGTTAATAATTAACTAAATTTATTTTTTATCTTTGAATAAATTATCCCGTATCTCACATGCGCTAATCGACCATAATTTTCCAATTTTCTATACAATATTATATATGTATTATCATTATCACTGGTATACGGATTTTGTTCATACACCGGCCTCTATTATTTTTTAATTGTTGTTTATTTGTGCCAATTGTTACATGTATCTCACTGTTTACATTCAACTGTATAATAAATTTAAAAAAATTAATTAAAAGTAAAATTATCAGTCAACCATTTTACAATTTATAATCAGTTTTCAAATGATTAAAAGTATACGAATATGATAAATAAAATACATTTTTTTTCTGGATTTAACTATTTTTATATTTTCAATTTACCACATTCTCAGATATTTAATGCTATTGAATATACGCATCATATTTTTAACTATATCGGAAACGCTTGAGATTGTAAATTAATTATACGGAACATGAAATGAACTAAATTTCCCATATAACAATCGCTCAATAAAAAAAAAATTATTTTTACAGGCCAAAATTTATATTAAATTTAAATTTGTTTAATTTTTCTCTTCTCCATTATGCAAAACGGTAAGCTATGGCACTAAAAAATGTTAGTATCTAAAATCGGTACTAAAATTAAAGTAATTGCACAAGTATATAGCAAATTAGCAGAATTATTAATAATTAAGTATGATGAGCATAGTGGATGTGATTTGCATATAGACCGAATTCGT